ACACTTAAGTGACGCTGAGCATGTAAGTTGGGTGCCTCTGGGAGTTGGAGCTGCACTTCAAAGTCTGGGGAAACAGGCTTTGTAGATGCGCCCTTATGTAGGGACTCAGGCCTGCAGTGCTCCAGGCCACATCTCTACAGGGCTGGGCTGGAGTCAAAGAAACAAGGGGGCCAAAAACATTAGTCACTCTTTTTCTCAGTCATTGCCAAGGCTTCAAAATAAGCATTTATCTTGCACCCTATAAAATATATACAACTATTGTGCACCCATAATAATTTAAAATTAAAAATTAAAACATAAGCATTTATTTTAAAGAAATATTGACTAACCTAGTGTTGTGGTCAAATTGAAATTTGACAGGAATAAAACTAATTGTATTGCATTCTTCCATCGTGCCAGACACTCTTCCAAGTACTGTAAGTATTAAGCATTTAATTTTTGAAATAATTATATAATTTAAACACTATTACCTCACTTTTGTAAAGGAGGAAACTCAGGCACAATTAAATTAAATATCTTGCTCACGGTGATAAAATATACAGCTAGATTTTTTAAAAATCCCAAGATTTGAATCCCAACCTTAAACCTAGCCTTAAACTCAATTCTAACCTTAACCTGAAGTTTAAATACAACCCTAACCCTAACCTCAACCTACACCCTAACCTTAAGCCTAAGCCTAAAACTAAACACAGCCCTAGCCCTAACCCTAACTAAAATACACCATCTCCAAAAGTCCGTACTCTTAACCACTATGCTGTAATGAACTATTACATGCTGGTACTTGGGTATTAGTCAATAGAAAATAAAATGCATAGAGATTACTATATGATAAAAATGATAAGATCATTTTATTAAATAGATTGATGTATTCAGAGAATGACCAAATACTCTGGCTTTAATGTAGTGAGTTGAGGAAGAGACTTAAAAGACATATTTGTCATTTATGCCTAAGCTCTATGTATCTTTAAAATTTAAGAAATTCTTCCAAGTCTAGGAGTTAAAGCTTTTTTAAGGGTGATAGAAATGGGATTTTCATTTAGGAAGTTGCATTGGCTTTCTTAAAGAAATATTCTTTTTAAAAAATAAGACCTTACCTTGTCTCAAAGATGCTAGTAAACAGCAACTATATTTCACCATCAAACTAAGGTGCTGTCAAAATAGTAAATTATTTATATCATGATTCTGCTACTGGGAACACAACTGTCAGGTCTGTGGTACCCCAAAGATTAGCAAGGCACAAAGGAGAATGGAAAACATTAACATTCAAATGGATTTGCCATGGATGGAAAGCTCATTTAGAAGATGATAGAATCTTCCCCCTTGTGAGCCAAACACCAGTTGTAGGGGCAATGGAAATTAAATTTCACATTCAGTTGTATATGCAAAGACAGTAACAATGAAAATCAAATTCGGGATCTACAAATAGGCCAGGTAAACACGGCAAAAAGAGGTAGCAGAAGAATGCATGTCTACGATACGGTCCATTTCTAGGATTTTATCCTAACAACACTTAGAACAGGACTTGTGCATCACACAGGTGTTGAGCATCTACTTGTTGATCGAGCTAAGGAAATGAGTCACCACAGCTGCCTGCGTGTGTCAATGATGGAGAGAGAGCCTTCCAGACAGTGATGAACCATGTCACATAATTTTGGCTAAGCTGCATCTTTGAAAAACATGTGGAGAGGATAATAATATATTTTTATGTATTTGGTTTTATTCTTAACTGAAAGAGACATATGTTGCTTCAACTCATTAACAAGCCTGAACATGTTCAAAACCACTCTGATAAAAAAATTCTTTTCAAAATAAAATTTGTTAAGGAATGGTGACTGGACTTTAAATGCATTAACTGTAGCCATCTCTGTAAATTGACTAGATTACTTAAGCTGATAAGATGTTTTAGTGGAAAGGGAAAAAGGAAATGCAAAACAGCAAGTTATAGCCATTCCTAGCCTCTACCTTATTGTAGTATAGGGCCGCTACTGACATCGCCTTCTCAAGGTAGTTGGCGCTAACTCAATGTAGTTACTGTTGCTTTTGGTTTTCTCTTTCCCAGGGACTAAATAGTAAACTTTACATTGTGTCCAAAGTTGGGCTGGTTGCTTCATAGATATGTATAAAAGACATATCACTCTCTTGCTTAAATCCATCCATCGGCCTCTTTGGTTCTCAGAATAAAATCTCAGACTCTTGACAATGACTTCCAACACTCTCTATAAACCTGCCCCACCCCACCAGCTTACTACACTACATCATTTTCTACACCATTTCCTTCTTAGTCACATCTTCAGTCAATATTTTTTGCTCATAATATTTTGTTCCTTTCCTTTTTGTTTGTCACAATGTATAATCATGGATACACATGTATTTATTTGTTGAGTGCATTTTCTTCCATTCGATGAGAGAGATGGATGACTTAGGGCATGTGCTTGTTAAATGAATGAAGGAAAGACTCATGACTTAAAGAACGCTTGGAAAGATATGGGGATTCGAGACTATAAATGTAAAGCAGAGAATTATACAAAAGGAAGAATATCGAATGTGCAAAATTCTCTGATCACATTGTATAATGGCAGTTAAGGAAAATAAGCTGTCTGTAGTGGAATTTTGGGGGAATTGGGAGAGCATTACAAAACTGTGGGAGAGGCTGTGTGGATGGGGAAATGGCATGGGCAGTGAGTGGCTCAGAGGTGGAAAAGGGAAGTGCCTGTCAGGGAGGCAGCGGGAAGGAGAGCTGGCCAAGACAGAGAAGAGGGATTCGGCCACCTTTGAGCTCCCAGAGCGCTGATGGCAGTTGGCAGTCAGTGCTCCTGAGCCCTCCCTCGCCCAAAATGTGGACCACAGCACAGATATGATGGGGCACAAGTCATAAGCAATGACCAGAACCTCATTAACGCCTGTTCCCAGCATTGCCCTCAGGAATCCATAACAGAATACAGATGAGGGAGGAGCTAAAGTTAGAGTCTCTTAGACAATGGGAGAGATACCTTTTTTATTTTTTTGAGATTTGTGGTATATTAAAAATGAAAAATACAAACAAGCTTACAAAAATTCTGATGTATTAATATTTTAATATGTTCACTTAACATCATTAACACTAAAAAATTACAAGGTAGTATAATTGTGCTAGTCGCAAAATAAAAGATTTTGAAAAAAGTATACACCATTGGAGATACAGTTCAAAAATGAAATAAAAGCTTAACTTTGTATGATAAACATCTTCTGTATAACCCCATTTGTAGACAACTTCAAGCTCCCAAGAAGCTTATGGACTGGAATTGGAGAGGGGTGGGCCCCCTCCTGGGACTCATGAGGTTATTCAAGGTCCAAGAACTGACACTAAACTAGAAAGAAAGTAGCTATACTATGCTACATTTTGAAGGAAAAAAATTTAAAAATATAAATCAAAGTGACTCTATGGTAGCATAGGATCATTGATAAAAATGGCAATATTGAGAAAGGACACTTATGGGTTAAGGATTACAAGTTAGGTTTTATGTTCTCTTGAGTTTAGGGTGATGGTAAGATGGACAAGTGGAAAGCTACTTAAGGCCTTAAAAATGTGAAACTAAAGAATAATGAGCAGGCCAGCGCTGGAGTTATCACACGAACGTACTAGACGTGAAAATAATTACAGCTGCAAAGAAAGCAGGGGGGATAGATTTGGCAGAGGGATTTTAAATAGAGTTCAACACATTGCTCATATTTGTCTTCCCTTTTCCCCTTCTCCCAAAAAAGGAACAGAAACTCAGTTAATGATGTACTAAATCATAAATTGAGACTGCATTTATGTAACATTGGAATCACAGAAAAAGTAAGCACAAATGGAGTCGATGATCTCTATTGTCCAGACATCCCCCAAAAGTCCATGTTCAGCCTTCACCAAGTCCAGTGGCTGCACTCTTCCTCACCACATGGCTTTCCTTCTTCACCCGGCCTATGCATATGCAGGATAGCTTACCAGCTATGTTAATATGTCTAGACCTAGCTAGACCAGAGGGAATTAGCAATTTAGTCTTTGGATTTAACATTGCCCTATTTCTTCAGTCATCTTTTCAAAAGTAAATACTCCCTTATGTTGAAATATATTAATACTAAGTGATTAATATATTGCTGGAAATTAACTTTTCAGTTTTTTTATTTTAAAATATCTAATTGGCAAATAAAGATTGTGTATATTCAAGATGTACAACACAGTAATTTGATATACATACGCAGGGTATAATGGTTTTCATGGTCCAATTAATTAACGTCCATCACCACCCATGCTGTACATTAGGTCCCCAGATCTTGTTCATCTTATGTCTCATCAGATTTATGTTTTTGGTGGTAGAGACTCTATGTGGACAGGGTATTGAAGGTATTGAACATTTGGTCGGTGTGAGGGAAATGGGAAGGACCCCACAGCAAAGATGACCTAAGTAATGAGGCAAACATAGAACACCCATGTGAACATAGTGCCCACCCCTCACCAGTGAGGCCAAGTGTGCAAGGGGATGCTGTGTAAACAGAGTATCTAAGACAGTATCTGATGCATGACACACACACAAGGCTAGCCTCTGCAGATGGTAACCACCGTAGGTCAGGACTTTGGGCCAGGGCATCACTCTCAGGAAGCAGCCCCACCTCAGGGCTCCTCTCACATCTGCTGTGCTGACGGGCCCAGGTCACAGGCCCCACTTCCTTCTGCAACTCTCCTTTCCAAAACTTTGAGGTGGGTTTCCCAAGGCATGCAGCCTGAGTGAACTCTTCCCTGCAGGTAGTTTTCACTAATGCTAGAGCTACACAACGCTGAGTCACAGTCATGGCCAAACCGTACCTGACCGTCAGGACACCAGCCTTACAAGGACGACTGCTCAGATTCTGTCAACATTCACTGAAGTCCCTGTACCAAGTCCCTGAGTGGCAGGCTTGGAGCTAGCCTGGAGATAAAGGTTATCCTGCCAGATAATGCTGGCAGAGCCTACTGCAATGGCCAGAGCGTTCTGACCCCAAGCCCAGGGCTCCTTCATAAACCATGCTGTTTCCACACGTAGACTGGGAAGGACCCTACCCACATACACAGATAATTTGTTTGGCATCCTATTCAAAGGGCATGGTTTTAAAATAAATTAATTCTGCTTTGCATAAACAGTTTGTGCCTCCAGAGCCAAGCTGGTACTTAATTTAGTGATTCCATACACTACCTTTTCTTACTGAATGTTTCACATTATGCTCGTTCTCTCAAAGTTGGAGTTGTTGTTCAGTATTCTGCAAAAGAGAAGGGACAATTTTTATATCACATCCAAAGGCCTTTTAATAAATATCACCATTGTAAAGGATTGTCATCTCTGCTGCTCCCAAGCAGGAGTGCTCCATAATACACAGGTTTTTCCATGGCCATGAAACAATGAAATGTCTCTTTTATCTTTAGGTTATAGCTTTGCATAGAAAAATCCCTTTTATTCCTTAATGTGTATTTCCTTCCCTTAGTGTAAAATGTTTTGAGCTATCACAGGTTGTTTCTCCCAGGTTATTTCCACATATGTCACCTGTTGGAAAATTATTAAAATAGTCATTCTAAAATAGTTGTTTGCTTATTTATCCCCTAAAAAAGCTTATGATATTAAAAAAAACACAAACTTTAATATAACATCAATATGACAATGCAACAAATAACCTCTTAAATATAAATAAAAACCATAAATCACTCTTTTCTTTACATCTGAAAGATAATAGATTATAATGTATCCTTCCCTCTCCCACCCCCTGCCAACAAATGGCACAGGAACATTGATTTTTTTCTTTGCTTCTCAAATTTGTCTTTTAGTAGTTGAGAGCAGATGAAATCTTTTATCACTATATTTAGACGTCAACCAGGCAGGTCGATGCCATGGTAACCGCTGCACAAAGAAATGTTAGCAAGGGAGGGGCTCGCGGGCTCCCAGGAGGTGCTTACTTAGTGCCGAGTAAGAGACAGAAAAGCTGCCGCCCGGCCGAGGCCACAGGTGCCCACCTGCATCAGGGCAGGGCGGCCATCTGAGCCCCGCTGCCACCCCTGCGTGGCTGGTGCCTGGGAGTCGGAGAGGGACGGTCGGTGCAAACGAGTCCCTGCGCTGTGGGCCCTGCGCCCAAATCCAGGCTACTGCCCTCAGAACCCAGCGGTGCTGCCTCGGCTTTAAGCAACCCTACTCCCCTTGAGACCCAAGATCGTTCTAGACGCTCACTTGATAATCAGCTAGGGATAAAATAAGCTTGTTCCGTTGTGTCTGTGCCGCACGTTACTCCAGCGCGCCTGCCTCCCGGTGAGAGCCCACAGGGCCAGCACGGTCTCTCCGAGGGCTCGCCTTTTGCCCACGACTGTTTTCGGCACTGGGGACGGAAAAGGGAAGGGACAGGCAGGGTCCTGGTTCTCACGGAGCTTAAGTTCACTGGGAGGGAGAGGGGTGACAAAACGCAATAGTAAACAGCAATTACAAATGTATAACAGACATACATTTTAAAAGCCATATTTGTATGGGATGTAAAGACTATCCGGCCAGCAGCCGTCATCGGAAGGGGCTGGTTGGTGGGTGCAGAACCGGGGGAGGCGGCTCTGAAGGGCTGACATCAGCTGAGACTTAAATGGCAGGAGGGACAGCAGCCACCCAGACACGAGCAAGTGCTCGCCGAGGAGGACAGCAGCGGAGGGGAGGCCGGGCTGTAATCCGCGGAATGGCCCTGGTCTGGCGGGTCCCTGCCAGCTCCTCGAGCGCCCGCCCGCGCCGCAGCCTCCAGCGGCCAGGGAGTCCCCGGAAGGTGGTCTCTGGTCTCTCCCAGAGATGGAAAGGGAAGAGCTCACGTCTACCAGCAAAGCGCACCGCTTTCCTTCTTTTTGAAGGACACAGAGTCCGCAGTGTTCTCAGAAAGGAATAGGCGGTCAGTGATTTCCTTTCTCTCCTGGTTTGGTCACTACAGGATTTGCAGTGGTCTCGGTAGCACGGCATGGGCGCTCTGGCTAGCAGAGTGGGCTTATAAAGAACAGAGGAGGCTTAGAAAATAGGATTTTACTGGCAAAAGAAAGGGTTTCTTTTGGCCTTCCTTCCAGTCTCTACCCAGTGTGGTCACAGACGTCCGACGAGGCACGCTCAGGAACCTGGAGGGGGACCCGACGGCGAGCTTTTCCTGCACCTCGCAACGTGGCCGGGCTCTCTGCGTTTGCGTGGACAGTATGAATTAAAAACCAAATAATTCATATTCTTTAAAAAGAATATAAGGCATTAGGCAAAGCGCATATGGAGCTATAGTTGTGGAAACATGTTTTTTAGGCTAAAATATAATTTGCTTTGTTTCACATGAACTTACTATTAATGTGGAGGAAGTGGATCTTCCTTTTTGAGATACTGACTTTGAAATAGTAGGAAATTTATTATTCCTCACATTGTGATGGGAACTATGGAGAGAGGCAGGACATTTGATCACCTGCTCAAGAGATATTATGGGATAGCTACCAAATGGAAAATACTGTGCTGAGGCTTTGGAGTAGTTGAACCCAAGCAGGGGCAGAATACTGTTTCTTGTTCATTCACTCAACACACATTTATTGAGCACCACTGGGTAAATTAGTTCTGGTAGATTGTGCTGCAATTAATATCTATGTTAATAACACTTTTTCCAGGGGTTCTTATGAGAAAGACATGGGATAAATTTGCTTAATAATACTTGTTAACTGGTGGGGATTGGTGAATAATAATTATTTTTCTACCCTTTTCCCACACTTTTTAGGATAAAATACTAAATGAGCTGTGTGGCATTTGTGACCCTTTTAAAAAACATGCACACATCTGTCTGGTCTTATTTCTTGGGACTTCTGTTTCCAGAATCCCTATTGCAATGGTGTATTAGCTTGCTAGGGACACCCTGGCAAAGTACCTGGCTTCAGCAGTAGGAACTGGTTGTCTCACAGTTCTGGAGTCCAAAATCAAGGTGTTGGCAGAATTGGTTCCATCTGAGGGCTGCGAGGGAAAGTTCTGCTCCAGGTCTCTCTCCTTGGCTTGTAAATGGTAATTTTCATACCCTCACAGTATTCTGTATATATCTTTCTATGTCCAAAATTACTTTTTAAAAAAACAACAAAAAAAAGCACCCCAGTCATATTAGATTATGGCCAATCCTGATGACATGACTTTAACTTGACTAATCACATCTCTGACAACACTATTTCCAAATAAGGTCCCATTCTGAAGTACTAGGGATTAGAACTACAACATATGAATTTGGGGAGACACAGTCCAGCCTACAACAAAGAGTCTTGTTTTACTTGTAGGATCTGAACACACCCTGTTCTTCTGCACATTCTTGTTCTGTCTACTTTCCTGAAAGCCCTTTCTGTTGAAATAGCTCTCATTCTTTGAGTCTAACTCCATGTTCACATCCTCCATGGACCTTTCCCTGATTTTTCTAGCTGGAGTTAACTTAAATTTTTTGAATCATAAATGCAATTCTTTTACTTTATTTTAAAACAAATTTTATTTATTTTAGTAATTATTTTTGGTATCATTTCTCTTATAGTACTATTCAGTCAATAAACATTTTGAATACATGAAGGTATCTGTGAGGATTTTTTCCTAAAGGGGCTGTAAACTCTCAAAATAAGAGACAATGTTTGTACTTCCTTTTGTGATCAATGTTATTTTAACACAGATCCTTATGTGTAGGGTGGAAGAACAGAGAAAATACTCAAGCAGGAAAGTGGAGGATCATTTGAGAAAGGTCCCACTTGGAAGGATGCCAGAGGATGACCCTTCCTCAGTAGACACTTGACAGTCCTGAGGCTGTTGTTTCACCTCGTGAGCTTTGAAAACTGGTTCCAGCTGCAAGTGGAGAGTGGTTTCCTTTAAAGATGCACATGCATAAGGTTGAAGAGTAAAATTAGAGCATCAATTTATTAATTCACAGTGAGAAATGGACTGTCATAAACACTAAAGGGCGTCATCTCCTGGTTAATTTTATGTGGGAAGCCAGATATAATCAGAAGTTTGCTGGGCGAACCTGGAGTCAGACCAAAGGAAAATCAATAAGCGATTAGAATATTTAATGGCACTAGACTAAGGTAATCTGATGCATTTGTCTCCTTAAGTCATCAGTTGCCAATGAATAGCATTCTTGAACCTGTTGACAACATTTGAATCTTGAGCTATTCTTCCTCTTTGTGTAATGTAATTATCCTGAGTTTCATAATCTTCAGGGATCATACCTTCCTCTTAATAAACAAGTAAAATACTTTGTGGCTCCCACATGACATTGTACAAACAATTCAGCCACCTGTCCAGTGGTGTGGATTCCTGAGGATTTCTTATCCTGCTTATCCTTTGTTCCCTCTCACTCTAAGTTACTCTTCCCAGGCGCCCCTAAAATCATTGCTTGCCCTCTCACTACTATTTCTGTTTGTTGGTTTAGCTCTCACTAGTTTAGTCTTATCCCTTATATATTACCTTCCTCTGTATCCCTGTCAAGAGGTCATTTGTCTGTACTAGCTAACTAATCTGCTAAAAATCTGTGTCATAAAAGAATTTCAAAACGAAGCCAGGTATCACTGCTCCCAAAGAGTACTGAACATGCCCATCACAGACCATCCCTGAATGGCAGTTTCCCCACCACTGTGTTATTGAAACCCCTATTCTATTCTTTCCTATCTCCTCTCTTGCTCTTTTTAGCTCCAAAATTCTCAAGCTGCAAAGTTCCATGTCAAAATAAATAAATAAATAAATAAATAAATAAATAAATAAATAAATAACTAGCACAGCCCCTGAGCCATGATTATACTATCATTTTCAGTAAATGTTTATCACATGCCTACTATGTGCCAAACACTGTGATAGGGCTTGGGATACAATAGGGGGGAAAATAAATATAACCCTGTTTTGGGGAATTACTAACCAAAATAATTACACAAATGAATGTGTAATTACAAAATGAGGTTAATGTTCTGAGAAAACAAACATAGTATGAGGGGAGCATTTAACAATGACATCTGGCCACCAGAGACGGCCTATCTCAGGGAGTCACAAAAATATCAATTATCAGGTGAGTAAGGCAGGTGGAGAAGTACAGTCCTCCGGGCAGAGGAAGTCACTGCACAGGGATGGTTCCCAGATCACAGGAAAGCTAAGAAGCCCGTTGTGACTGGAGAGCAGCGGGTAGGAGGAGAATAGTATCACCCCACACGAAGAAGAGGCTGGAGGGGGAGGCAGAGAGGCCAGAGCATGCAGGAATTTAGAGGATTGTTACAG